GCTCCAGCTCCACTTTATAATAAATTGTTTCCCTTCTCTTCTGTCTTTGGGGTAAGTCTGCCAGAATCAGTTTATGTCGTTGGCCACCCAAAGAATGCTAAATTAGGAAATGGCTGTAAGTTATAATAAAACCATTGGGTAAAAATAGAGGAAATATGGTAAATAATATTAGTAAGATAAATATCTTTATACTTGGTTATGGATAAGGAATTGGAGTTAGCCTGCAGAAAGGAATAAAAAAATTTGAGTTATCCCAAAGTTTATTTCCAGGAACTTTTTGCCTAAGACAAGCCAGCTTTTCTTTATAAATTCTATGCTCCCGGCTGTACTGTGTTTTCTATAACATGAGGTGCTCAGAAGACTAAGGATATTTCCAGATAAGTAAGCCTCAAAGTGTTTGATAAAATGAATATAAAGGGCAGGGTTTTTAGAGTCTTCCTGATCACTACTACTGGCATGTGCTTGGCATATTAAAGTCCAAAATTACTTGCTCTCTGCCCCTTGTGTTATTTTTATAAAGATCAGGTTAGCCTGTTTTTAGGTGTAATAATGATATTTTAAATTATCAAAGTAATACATACTCTTTAAAAAATAAAAACAAAACAAAGCAAAAAAGAAAAAAAAAGCCACATACCCCACTTTATAAAGCAAAAGCAAAAAAGTCCTTCTCACTCCCAAACCCATTCCCAGAAGGCAAATCCCTTTAGATCTTTTGTCATAAACATAAAGATAAGTAGATAGATAAATAGATAAACAGATAGAAAGAAATGCATAGACAGCCAAAGAGACATATGTATATATAATGGGATTATCTTCTATATATTTTTCTACATCCTGTTTGTTTCACTCAGTATCTTTCACATCAGTACATGTGGAAATTTCATTTTATATTTTAATCTCATTTTTATAATCTCAGGGCACATGGAAATCTACATAGTTTTCCATAGTACAAAATTATCACAATTCATTTAATCATTCTTCCTTATATATCTTTGCCCATTTATTGTGAGAACTTAATAATATAAACAATAGCAAATATATTAATAGATAATATTTGAGTGTTTGCTGTGTGCCAGGCACCTAAGAAATTAAATATACATCATTTCATTTCATCTTCACGATAATCTTATGAAGTAACTGCTCTTATTAACTCCATTTTTTCTCAAATGAGAAAACTAAGGTTATGAAACTTAAAAGTGTGCAATTAACATATGGCGGTATTAAGATTAAAACTTGAGAAGTCTGATTCCACACTCTTAACCACGATGTCATAGAAGTACAACAGCTAGGTCAACATGTGCGCACATGTGATGTTTTGAGAGGTACTGTCAATTGTTGTCCAAAGATTGTAGTACTAACACATATACCTTTATCTTTTGACGTTCTGCAAACTGTTTACTTGCAAGAAACAATGGCAACCACACATTTTCTAGCCTATTTAGGACATGCTTCTGAATTTCAATTAGAATAGGTGCATCCAGCTGCTCATGGAGAATCTTCCCCCAGCCACCGCTTAAATTCATTATCTAAGAAAATAAAAATGAAACAGAAACTGCAAACTTCTGTTTTGGAAAAGAGACACTAAGTCATTAATTTATTCATTCACCTCCAAACCATCTGTTGAGCACCTGATAGGTGCTACAAGTTTCATTTTCTGTAAAACAGCTCCTGACTATATTGTGTATAGGAAAGACAGATAACTCCTCTAACATTGGAGAATTGTGATTTATGAGATGGTTGTTTTAGATATACGATTTCGCTGATGATATATTTCAAAGAACACAGAAATGGGATTTTTATCCTGTGTGACCACAAGCAATGCCATTTTTTTCCCCTCCATAGCCTCAGTATCTTCAACTGTAGAATGAGAGCATTAGTTTATTTGTTTTCTAAGTTCTCTTCTAGTCCTATGAATCTGTGACTCTAGTCGAATTGACTTTCTCGAGAAATCATTTTCTTTTGCATGTGAGGAGAATGAGGCATTAATTAAGAGACAACCTTGACTGAAATATAAATATGTATAATACCAACAAATACTGGGTTGGAAGTGGTGGACAATGGTAGTGGTAGCAATGGACAGTTGTTCCAACAACTTGGAAGAAGAATACAGAGGCAGCAGGAAGTAGAAAAAGGCCAGGTTACACAGACAATAGTCTCCAGAGAGATTTACTCAGGTAGCAAGTACATTTTATAAAATACAACGTTTTGTGGCCTAAATCTTCCTTCTGCATAATTATTGTCTTCAACAAGCTATTAATACTATTTCCTGCTCCAAATGATTCTGTTTTCTACCTGTTTCTGTATACATACCACTCAAAATTTTTGGACTGCTCATTGGAAAAATTATCTTATTCTTAGCTCTCCTTTGATTAATAACATTAATCAAATCCTACTAATAATACTGTTTAACATAAAAACAAAGGAGAAACCCTCTTAGCCAGAATTTAATATTAATCCAACAATATTAGCAACAATACTGTTTTTTTAATAAAAAATAAGGAAAAAAGAGAAAAGACTAATTATAATCAAAGAGCAAATTGGTCACATAACTGAAATTAGAACTAGCATGATCTATATAAAATATAATGTGATGCAAATATCCTTATATATAAAATAAGTAAATAAAAATAAAAGTAAAGTAAAAATAGAAGCAAAAAATAAATAAATGAAGAAGAAGGGTCATTGGCAAAACAGCTCTGTAGTAAATACAACCATTTGCTATGATAGCAGTGGGTGACTTTTTCCACTGAATTTTAAATTCTCAGCATGTTAAGCTATAGAAGGTCCATACAGTAGCATCAGGGACCTCAAAATTCCAGGAATGAATGAATAAAATTTTTTTATTCTATAAATTGCTTTTAAAATAACACTTTTAAAAATAATATGTAAGACATAAGTGAATTTTAAAGACATTTAATTTGTAGATACTTTTGAATACCTAAAAATAATGAGATATCAAAAGAGTCTAACATATAAGTCATAAAAGCAAAAGAAAAAAATGACTTTCTGGTTGTTGGCAAAAAGAAATAAATTACTGGTTTTCATACTTCAATATAGAAAATATATTTGCATGTTGATACCTGGTCCTGCTGATGTAGAGAAGCTGGACTGTTGGGTCCAAAGAAATATTTTTTATTAAGGTATTTGTTTTTAATATATCTAGATTTTTCCTCCCTTTGCTTTCGATCCTTGTGAATTATTCTCCGGAACTGCTCAATGTCGATCCAGCACATAAGGTCCATGCTAAAATGAAAACAAAAACAAAGTACAACCCTTCCTATTTATTTCTCTTGAGTCTACTAAATACCAAACAAAGCTGTTGTTTTGACAGAACTTAGAAAAGTGGTTATCTTGACAAGTTAGCACAGCTGATTAAATTACAGAACTAATTACAATAATATTATGTCTCATCCTGGCTAAACATATGAATGACCACTAGGAGACCTGGGATCAGAAAAGATTCTCTCACCATTATGGGGAGGGTCTCAGAGTTCTTCCATTAATGATGGACTAGTACTGTCAGTTTCAAACATGGGAACATTTCCACCTACTGCATGTCTATTTGGCAACATGCTAAATTTAGAATAATCTTCATACAAAGAAGGGAAATTGGATGTGTGAAATTTGGCTTCCAAGTCTAAACAGTTTCTGCTAACTTGGGAGAAAATTATTGGAAAAAAGATGATCAATACTTCAGTTTATATTAGACAAATATGTCATAAGTTTCCAAGATTCTGTGCAAAACTACATTTCACTTATGTAATAACTAATATAAATTAACAAAATATTACACTTATTATAATAGCTTAGTGAAATATAAGAGACACTTCTCAGAAATAATAATTGAAGCACCTGTCAAGAAAAATGCAAAAAAAAGAAAGGATAAAACATACTTGTGTTTTAATTTAACCAAAGCTAAAAGTATCAACAAATATTGTTTAACCACTTAAAATAACATTTTAGATGTTGCTATTATCAAAATGCATACCTTAACAAAAAATTATCCATACAGATTTCAGATAATTCTGCTCATTATTTTTTTGTTGACATGGGTAAAATCTAGAACCAAATCACTTTTATAATATGTTGAATCAAACGAAGTAGCTTAAAAAAATAAGTAGCTTAGAAAAAATACATTTTGCAATAGTTATATTTCTTACCTTGAATTATGAGCCTCGAGAAACTGACGGAAATGTTCAAACTCCAGTTTGTTGCTAAGCAGATTATTAAAATTAAAATTCCTATATTCTTCAGGGACATTATTCCAGTATTCTGTTTGTTTAGATACATCAGGAAGTGGTGAAATAACAGTTCCAATTTCATAAGTAGCATCCTAGCAAAATAATGCTCTTCATAAAAATCTCTTAAACACATCACATTACTTTTTAAACTTAAATAGAAAAAATGAAATAAAAATTAACTATTAGGCCAATACCATTTAACTTTACAATGGTAGAATTGGGTAAACAATCTAGAATCTGGTTCTAACTCTTATCAAAGTCCTTCACATGCTATTCCTGTTCCTTTCCATTCCATTCTCTTCTTTCGGAGAACATTTAGTAAACATTTACTATATACTTGTTTATAAAATATTAACTTTCTTATTTTTGTTAGTATAGAAGTAATGTCTTTCTAATGAAAAGAAGAAAACAAGAAGCCTACACAATACTACCATTCAGGTA